TCAATCCGCATGATGAGAAAGGCCGGACAGATGCAAGTGACGCGGGATATTATCCAACCCAGAGGCCTGAAGACAAGTAGAGAATCGCATCCATGGCGGTTGCTGACATGGTTACTTCTGAGGCCGCATAAAGTTAGCTCGTTACCTTGCACAGAGTAATGGCCTGCAGCCCATCATCACTAGCGATAGCTTTTGACGCCAGACGGGATCCGATGAGGATGGCATTCTGGGGGCCGAAAATGAGGAGCGAAGCTCGGAGCAGAAGGGCGCTCCTTGCACAGGTCCGCTGGTGCCGAGCGCCATACTCGCACTGGCTACACGACTCTAATTCCCGAATCCGTACGATCGTGTTCCTTCAAGGGTGGGTCGCGCAGGGTGACAACAAGAGTGATTGTGTGTTGCAACGTGTGAGAGGTGCATGCACGTGAGAACTGATGTGCGTGCTGTGCGGGCAAGTGGGGCGGCGGCTCGAGCGATTGGGCCGTTGGCTTCCGCTGAGTAAGGCGATCGAGCGCGCCAGCCTGTGAAGCTCCACCTGTCCGCGGGCCGTCAAGGCTTCCCTCGAGGTCTGCCTTTCCAGCCACCTCAGCATGCAGCCTATCTGCGGCCCTGGTCAACAACGATTGCCATCCAGACTCTCGATTGAATGTTTCGCGATCCTTCTCCGCCCAGTCCTCTCCCAATGGGAAGGCCGGTGGCAACCACACAACCTGTGCCCTTTCACCGGTATTGCCACGTCCAGTCATATGCCGGCTCATCCACATGCAATATGCAACCTCAGGGTGCCCTGGCGATGCTGTGCCTCTACCCCGCCTGAGGCACGGGCGCAATACACCCACAACAAGCAGATGGGCTTGACGCCTAGAGCGGCCAGACAAATTGATGTTTAACCGATCCAAGCAACGGCAATGAGGACCTTGCGACTGTCGTCCATGGAGCGCCGATGTGCATCGCCCACGCAAGTCGCGGCTCAATGCCAGTCCGGCACCACCAGCTGACCTACGCTAAGTGGTTGCGGTAGCTGACAAGGTGTTGGTGTTTTTGATAGCTTGTGCCTCTTATCTGTAGCCTTCTCTTATCAACTGATGACCCTTCACTTCGGCTGCCATGCGCCGTGGTCAAGTTGCGACTATGTTTTCCAAGAAACGTGCCGAGCCAATCCAGCTGCCGCCCACGCCTTACGTTCTGGTTCCCAGTGGGCAGTACGAAGGAAACGACGGGAGATGGTCCACGTTCTCCATCAACATTGGCGACGACGGCAAGAACAACAGTAACGGCCAGAACTTCAGGGTACTCATATCCACTTCCTCGCCAGCCACCCTCGTACCGCAACAGACCGACTGGTGTTACCTGCCCAGCCCCGACCAGTGTGCAGCGAGTCGAGGTATCCTGTCATACGAAGGCCGTCAATCTTTAGGCTTCGATGATGATGAATCTCCACAATGGCAGAACGCAGGGATCTACACAATTCCAGTACCGGAGTGGTACAACGACACTTTACAAGCGGAAGAGCCAGCCGCAGTTTGGGGTGTGGATCATGTGGGTCTGGGTGAGAGCTCACCACAGAGCTTCATTTTGACCGAGCAGTATGTCGTGAAGTATACCGTTACAAACTTCTACATGGGTTCCCTTGGGCTCGCTGTCGGATCTACCGGACCCCCCGGCGCACTCAAACCGAACTTCTTGGACAATATGTGGGGAAGCGCACACAAAATTGCCAGTCGGTCGTTTGGATACACGGCTGGTGCTTATTATCGTAAGTACATCATTGTGGGGGTACCAGAGTTACCACCTCGGTGAGGAATGAACCTAGCAAATTCGGATGCTAAGACATGTAGGCAACAACGACAACGGGGTCACAGGAAGTTTAGTACTGGGAGGTTACGATAAAGCACGACTGTCCGAACAAGGTGTCTCGATCAGTATGCCTAGCCGGCAGAACAACACGCTTGCTGTTGGCGTCATTGGCATACTCTGGAAGCCAGATCAGGACGCAGAAACCAACACGGCGTCTCTTACTACTGGAGCGTTTCCTGCGACCATTGACTCTACATTACCATACCTCATTCTGCCTGATGATGTCTGCGACGAATTCATCATCAAATTCGGTCTGACCTTCGACAATCAGACACAAATGTATACTGTCAACGATACAGCGCGCCAGCAGAATCTACGACTGAACCCGACTGTATCATTCAAGATCAGCGGCAGTGCTGACACCGACAGCGCAGACTTTGCGGACATCGAACTACCATACTCGGCACTGGATCAGCAAGCCAGCTTTCCACTCTACCTTAACGCGACCCGTTACCTTCCCATAAAGCGATCACAAAATGGACGATTTGTACTGGGGCGCACATTTTTACAGGAAGCGTACATTGTGGTCGACTACGAACGTCAGAATTTCACGGTTGCCCCAGCCACATTCTCTGATCCGATGCCGAATCCGAGCCTGGTCACTATATTCGATAGGTCTTATACTGGCCTACCAGAAACACCAGAGTCTGGGTCTGGAGGTGGGCTATCAGCAGGTGCAATCGCCGGAATCGTTGTCGGCATCGTCGGGGCTTTCATCATTGTCGCAATCGGTGCTTACCTTCTATTGAGGAAAAAGCGCCGAGTGACAAAGGAACCCGAAGAGAACACCGAGAAGCCGTCTGAAATCGACACAACGTTTGCTGGCACTGAGATCAAGTATCGTCGCGTGTCAGAGCTCACTGGCTCCGATGCTCCTCATTCACCAAAAGACCCTGCAGCAGGCTATTACAGTGTTGATCAAAAGTCCTATCCACCTATCAGCGAAATGTCTCCGGAGAGCACCCCCGCTGAGCTTTACAGCCCTCCGCCAGATGGTCGCAATTCGCCCGACTACTTCACCAATGGCAGGTATAGTGTGCCTCTTGCAGAACTTCCCGGCGGAGATACGATCAGCCCAATGCCTAGTAAGAACTCAGACATGAAGCCAATGCAGAAACCTCCACACAGCCGAAGTCCAAGTGACAACTCACTATCGACCAATATCGATGAAGTACTAGCAAAGAAGGCACCTGAAGCTGGACCAGATAGCGAAGCCACAAGATCAGCAGTGGAGCCTGGAGCGCCGGCTACTGCTGAAGAGATTACCAAAGCAAAGGCAGGCGCACAACCCGAAGCGGACAACGATGCGGAAGAGGCGACGATCGAACGGCGGCCGTCACACACCAGAGGACTGAGCGACACAACCATTCAAAGCGATAGTACAGCAGTCTCGCAGCCAACACCCGAAGAGCTAGAGCGCTGGGCGAGAAGTGTAGACGGCCAAAGTCGGCCCATGTCTCCATCATGAACGACAGAACTTTCGACTTCGAACACTTCCATGAATCGATACTTTCGGATCTTTTCTTCATTTAGACTTCTGATATGTCTTGCGTCGCAATGTTTGCCTCTTGGCCAGTCTTTTGGTGTTACTGCAACACGTAGATAGTGTTCGACCTTTCTTTCGGAATGTTCACGAGGAGACGATCAAGATACCCACTAGTACACTCTTTACGACTTTAATGTAATAGTACACTGCATCGCTATCTTAACGCATCGCACTATGTCCATAGCACCGCCAGCCTTTGAAACACTTCCGACATCTCACAACAGCACGCGTTCTCGTATAGTTCGCATCATGCCTCATCGGTTCTCGCGCAGTACATTATCGCTGAAGCAGTACGGCGTCTGCAATGCAACTACTCGCGTTGTATGCTCCCCACAACAGTGGCTGTCTCTCAAGCGCGGATCCCCTAGCTTCCGACATCTAGAAGCGATGATCGCTTCTAATGATCCCCAATATGCGTATTTCCGCCAGCGCAACCCGTTCGTCCCCACCGATCAGCATGCAGCGGCAATACCGTATTGCCGCGTCACTCGGCGTGATTGACCGTCACTGCATGCGTATACAACTCGACTTGCGTGCGTGCGTGGTGGCTAGCATCCGAGCGGCACAGTCTAGCGCTGCGGATGCGAAGGAATTATTGATCAAATTTCCACCTCCGCGTCCTTCTCTAGTCACCAACTTTAAACAGACAATTGAAAGTTACTCCTCCCCAACACTGAGGCTCAGCACTTTCCGTCATTCCATCTTCTCAATACGGAAGGTGCGCAATAGTAGACTTACGCCACCGCTCTTTGTTCCAAAGCACCTCAGCGGCTGGCTAAAGGACCATGCAGTAGGCCTGCATGCGACTTATGTGAGAAAGCGGCACAACCTGGTGTGAAGAAAAGCATTTTGGGGGCCGTCACACAAGACATGGGTCGCATATTGGGCAGGATGGAAGGCAAGTCAGCCTGGTATGTTGTTGAGCATGATTGACGTGGCAAGTCGCAAATATCATACCGATCGTGGGATTAGGATGTTGCGATAGCGGTCGTTTTGTGGGGCGAAGCCACGCGATGACTTTCAGAACGCGCTTACGTGGGGCACTCGAGAAAGTACGTTTGAACATGTTTTGTAGTGTGGGTAATAAGATTGAAGGCGGGCGTAAATTGGTCATAGTGGGCAAAGACAAGGGCGCATTCTTGGCGTGCAAGCGTCTTGAATGAAAGATGCACTGGTAAGCCATCAAACACCGACCGAACGGTCGACAGATACGAACACATTCTTGTTCGTATTCACGCCAAAGGCGTCAGCTCACAATGACGTTGCTCCAAATATGTGTTGTGATTAGAATTGCAGCAACTGCGCCGCAATTTATTATTCATTGGCTGTGAACCTCGTTATACTGCCGGCCGTGGTACGCGGCGAGAAGCCGCTGCTAATGCGGGTACCTAGCCGGCGGTCACCTAGCCGGCGGTACCACTCAATGGGGATGATGGGATCGACCCGAGGCTATACTGCCGCTAGAGAACTGCAGGTCCATAATCTGCCAACATCGTGATTATATGTATTAGATCGCTCCACACCTGTGTTTGTGTGGTGTCAGCTGCGAGTCTGCCGGGTCGTGGTGAGTGGTCTGGCCATGGGGCCAAGCCTGGTATTAGTCCTCTCCCGGAACTTGTTCGTCCTCGGCAGCACCCATCTGAACGGCGAACTTCGAGCCTCGTCGCTGGATAGAGTAAGATTGCGATGGCTCAGCGCCGGACGTTGCAGATCCGATAGTCGGTGCCTCCCGTTGAGGTGTTGTTTCTGCCGATGGCTGCTGAGAAGCTGATGCTGACCCAGAAGCCTGTCCCTGGTTCAGGACGTTGGTGAACAAGCTCCACGAATCTCCCTGCTCCAGGAAAGACAGAGGCCATACAATAGCGGGGGCCCAGCTCTGGTCAATGGCCTGATGGCATGCCTTCGATACCCGCTGTCCCCAGCCCTCCATGAACCAGTATCGCGTCTCAGCTGCATGGAACATGGTCGTATAGTACAAGAGAATTACGATCGCACCTGACCTTCGCTGTTGAATAGCTTCCATGAAATCTGGTCCTAATTGCAGAGGCCAAAAGAATAGGAAACGTAGCTCCCGGTTATCCACTCGAGCAGGCAGCGATATCTGGAAAGCGGGCTCGAAGAGGTGAATGACAGTAAGATAAAGTTGTCGTTCGGCCTCTGAGAGATCCGTTCTCCCTTCAATGAACGCAACCAGTGCTGGTAATTGACTTTTCAGCTCTAGCAGCACGGGCTGCGATGCAGTGGGTTCCAACGGATCTCTCAGTATCGGGCCGAGAAAAGAGTCCCTCACTGCCATTTGAGCGAGCGCAAGAACGTGTCCCATACCTTGCATGAGATGGAAGGCATTCACCAGACTATCAATGTCGTTGACAGGTGCAGTAAGAGGTGTCTGGGCCTCGAAACCCGTTGAAGCAAATACGCTGAAGGTGAGCAGTGTCGACGTAGCTACAATCGCCGGGGCGTCTTCGTCGGTTACATTTTGAAGCTTCTCTCGAACTCCCCGAATGGCGAGATCTTGATGATGGATACCGCAAGCATAGTATGGCTGCCGTTGGTCTTGAGGTTGTTGATATGCTTTGTGTAGCGCCGCAAAGGCCAGAATCTCATGCATGAAGAAGTCATGTGCGTTGGCTTGTTTAGGAGCCTCGACTCTCCACATATGCCGAATGGTAGGTCGTTGGGACAGGGTATCAAATGCCTCTGTTGTCCAGTGGTGTCTAAAACAGTTGGTGATGATCCTGGCAATGGCCCAACTGACTTACAGGAGCTCCAGGTCCCGCAACCATAGCGACGACTGACTCGGTTGATTTCTGTGTATATATCTAGTCAAGAAAGGGTATGCGTCCGACTGCGAGTCGGAAGAATCCTCTTCCGAGATAGTCGAGACGGCCCTCGCTCCGGCTGCGGTCGACGGGTTGCGCGGGTAGGCCACGTGGGCAGACGATGCCGATGAACCCTGTTACACCAATGAGAAAAGAACGACTATGTTTCATGGCGTTTTATGGGGCCTACGGGTATAGATCGTTCGAGCGGTGACTGATTCGTACGTCGTGATGCAGACGATGCGGAAGATGCCGAATGAGCTGACTGGGATGCGCTGGGATCCCAGACGACGAGGCTACACGGAACACCATGGCGGGCGCAGTTGGTACACGGCTTGAGTTCATCACACTGAGCTACTTCAGTATCGAGTCCTCGTAAGCGTGTAATGCTTAGTTTGGTGTTGTGTCCTACCTTGACATGGCGGGCTTTACATTGCTGGCAGCCTAGTCTGGACCTAGAGAACGTGATCGGGTCAGATAGGAGCGAAGAGTGGTTTTGAGGTATAAAACGGGGATGCTGTGGCTCGAGGGTACGGGGTTGTGGGCGACGAGTGGTAGGAGTGTGGCGTGATGATTACGGACTTTTTGTGGCCGAGGCGCGGCATTGCAGCGAACTACCGTGACCCGAGACCAAAGCTTTGGGCCTCGACAGTGTGACCAACCGATCAGGCTATCGTCGCAACGGACCGTCTCGCTGTTTCAAGCCGCAGGATGAGGGAACAATGCGAATGCGAAGGTGAGGTACGTGTGGACGATGCTGTGGGTGGTGGGTCGGGAGAATCTTTGCGCACAAGGATGATCCCACACTATGCCACGTTCGCTCCAGACGATGCCGAATTGAACTTGACTGCAGCCGCGGCACAGCTCGCATTCGCATTTCGGAGTTCGTAACGAGATAGCTATAGACTCCGACATGTGACGCGGTTGTGGTCGACGTCGCGATCCATTGGGTTGTGCGTCATCCGGCTTCTTCCGCCGCTTCAATCATCTCGCGTTCGCATCATAGCGTCATCCTCAATACGGGAACATCGAAATCGACCCTGACAAACGGTACGATGGTATAATGCCACCCGTTAAGTAGGAGTCGAGGAAGCACGAGCCCAGAAATATATGCGAGAGCCGCCTGATCGACAGACCATAGTCGACACCTTTGCACAACCTCCATCGTTATCAAGACCTTTCAAGGGCATACGTATGAGTCAAAAACTATAGAGAAAGAGCTTGGAGCTGGCGGGTCGATGATATGCCCAGGCAGAATTCTGCTAGGACTTCGGTATGGTACTCCATGGCGTCCTAACCTCATCCACGTTATCCAAATGTAAGATGCGCATCAACTTCTGCGGTTGCAATGCATCGCGTATTGCTTTTTTCTCTCAACTCAGAGGGGTCATGGCTTCACGAAAAAGAACCGCGGCAAGCCGACTAATGCACTAGGCGCCTGACCCCTATCGACGTCGGCATCGTCGGGGTAGTCATGTCGTTATTGCACGCATGCATGATACACATCTTTTATGTTGTGTAAGAACTGGGTGGTTACTTCTCGAATCATGCCAGTCGCGAACGTCATAGTACAAAGAGCCTTGGCGAACAAATACCGACCACAGCACAGTTGCGGTGCGAATTGCCGACTTGTCCTTTCGCGGCCTTTCACCCGTGTCATTGCCAAATGCTTTGCCAGAGCCGCTTTCTGAACAGAGAACAGAGTGTGAAGGCTATGTAGCAGCTCAAATCTGGGCGTGCACGTGCGCAGAGAAGAATGTGAGTATCATATGACCAAGGCGCAGTCAGGATCAGGTGTAGGGTGGTTTGAATGGGGTTGGGTCGTATTGGCTCTCTGAACATGGAAGAGATTCACGGCCCGTTTTACGCTCACAGTGGCATTCGAACCACGGTTCTCTCAACAGTGTGATAAAAACCGCAGTAGGAGAAAGCACAAGGGCTCACCTTTCTAAACAAGTTTTTTTTAACCATCCAACTCACTATACAAATCAGTACAACATTTCCATCTAGATCCTTCGTCAGGCGCAAGCAATGGATTCGCATCAATCAGCCGACTTGTTTGCGACGACAACATCGCATGAATCAGTCGAACCGGCTGCAGACGTAGTCCATGGAGTCCACAAGCTTGCGATAGAGGAAGAAGACGACTACGAAATACACGAAGACGAATACGTGACCCCTGAGGAGATTGACCCGTATGATCCAGACGACTCTGATGCATTCGAATACCGTGTAGATATTGCAACTCAAGAGCTCCAGCATGCGCACAAACCAGTCTATACGCGCGCACTACTTGAGCGTGTAAAGGACTGGGTTGATCGGATCCGTGGAGAGTTCACTTTGCCATCCAATCAGCGAGTACTCGATCATGTTGATGCCTCCGGGCTGAACAACAAAAGTTACAGGGTTTGGAATCGGGATGATGTTAATGCCAACACCATCCAAGTTGAATATCTGTCGCGAGTTGAGATGCATCCTGACTTCCAAAGTCGATATGGAGACCATTCGGAACAGATCAGGACTCTCCGACGGTACAACAAAGATCACAAGCAAGACTGCATCAACACGCCATACACTTTCATAACCTTTGATCGATGCTTCTTCAATGAACACAAGAACACAGCAAAGATGAGGACGTATTGGACCACCATACAACAAACAAAACGCCTCTGGATAGCGAGTGCCGCAAGAAGGCAGCTGGTGGAAGCATTCCAGGAGACAGCCAAGACATGCGCACCAATCACACAGGTTGTCTGCTTTGGAATAGGCGCGCTTAATCTTAAGAAGAACTGGTACCATTCCGCCATCCAATATATGGCCGTCTTCAGCATCATACAAGCACTGAACCAGTACTACCGTCAGGCTGACCCCGCTCGGCCTCTGATCAAGCTGGTACTACAAGATCCGAATTACGAGACCAAAGATCATGAGATCTTGCGAAAACTGTTCAACAACAACGACAATATCAGCTTCGTGTCTGATCCGGATGGTCTTCTCGCAATTGATGCGGGTACGCTAGTTGTGACAGCCTATCTCCCCTTCCATATGCCTCTGGTCCAGATAATAGCCGATCTAATTTCGGAAAACCCTGGCCAAGGCCCAGCGGCAATACTTTGCGACATCATGGAAGTCGATACAGAGAAGCGGGAGTACTCGTTCAGCGAGCGCACATCTCCACATGTTGCCCGGCACTTCACAAACCATTACGAAAGGGAAGAAGATAGGTTTGAAGATCACGGTTTAGATGATGAGCTCATGGCAGATGCATATGGAGAAGATTGGCTGGAGAAGGACAGGATGTACTGGTTGAATAAGATGGATTTATGGGTGCGAAAGCGCAGCGCGAGCCAATAACGTTTTCGTTTAAGCTCACTAGGCAAGTGAAAGTCCCCGAGATGCTGTCATAGTACGTATCATCCTGCCAGGACTCACCCACATAGCGTCACGGATTACAACTCACGGCGTCCATGTACGGCTATGACGAGTCAATCGGGATAAGGACATCTGGCTCGCACATGTCTTAGAGCTTTGCAGCCTTCACACGAGCTTAAGACATAGAATAGATGGCCACCACAATGCCTAGTAAATACATCAGTTCGATTCACTCCTCACCTTCACGGATGCGCCTGGTCTGAGACCCACATTGTTTGTTCTCCGTTTGCTAGTGAATACGTACGATGAGGTACGTGCGCAATGCTATAAGTTGCTGCCTGGGCACATTCATATCGATCTCGTCTCCATCTTCCTCGACTTCATCTTCCTCAACCCACTAACTGGTTCATTTCCTAACATCTACCCCACCTCTCGCCATGCCTGCAACAACAAGATCTCAGTCCAAGGTCAAAGCATCTGCTGATATACCTTCAATATCAGAGAAAGCAGTCTCGGCTGATGACGTCACACCTGACGCGGAGAGCACGGGCAGCCATTCTGATTATCCTTCATTGAGCGACTCTAGGGATAAAACTGAACGTTACTGTGGCCCTGACCATCTTCGTGGCTGTAGCTGCTATTCTGACTCTGACTCTGACTTTGACGTCGAGGATGAGGATGAGGACTCATATTGGGAACAACCTCCGACAAAGTATGAGTGGTACAACTACCCTGTCGACCTTGTTACTGTGGAGAAGCTGCGAAACAACATGCCGATCTATACACGTCCTCTGCTTCAAGAAATTCGCGCGCAACAGCAAGAGGCCCTTCACCAGATAAACCTCCCGAGCGTCCCCATAAGGACGGAATACCTCACCTGGCGAGACCCGAATGGCCGTCTTACGAAAGTTTGGGAAAAGAAAAATTGCGGTCGAATCGAGCGTGACCCAATCGAACATGTCAGAGTTGACTTCATGCCTCGTATATTCTTGGATCGAGACTTTCAGCGCGAGTGTGGATGGAAGTCGGAAGCAGTATTCTGGCTGCGAGTGGACAACAACACTGTCACTGAGCCGGTTGGAGGTTTCTTCTACGACGCTCCATACGCGCTCACTCCCATATATCCGGAGAAGGACTCCGACCTCGATTATGCGGGAGAGATGAAGCGATGCCGCGATGCGATAGCACAGTCGTTAGCTTATTGGGGAACAAGCGACCTACGCGGCAGCTTCACCAACGCCATCAAGGATGTCGTGAGCATCCCAACGCAGATTGAGAAGATTGTGTGTTTCGGCCTAGGAGCACTCAGGCCATATTGGGCCTACAACACCTACAACAGTACATTCCAACACATCTCCATCTTCTGTATCGCAAACATCTTAGCCGAGCGCTACAAGACGGGTGCAGAGAAAGGAAGGAAGATACAGATCCTACTCCAAAATCCTCACTACCTGGAGAAGGACTGGATACTGTTCAAAGAACTACATGCAGCTATGGGTTGTGAAGCCAGCAGCGAAATAGAGTTCGTGCGGGATCCAGACGGTCTTCTCGCGATCGAATCACACACCATGGTCATCGCTCCCAATTTGCCGGTCTCATATCCTTGGGCTCAAATCATCGCTGATCTATTTGTATCGGGATCGGGTCCAGCTATCATCATGGGCGATCATCTCGCTGCCGACCAAGAGCAGAAGATCTTCAAAATTCAGGACCGTGGATCACCAGCCGTGGCGAGGTTTCTGTCACATCGATACGTGCAGACCCAGACAGGTCTCGAGGGTGAAGGTCCGCGAGAAAAGCTTCCTGCTAAAATGTTTCATAACCCGCGGAAGATAGACTGGCTTCCAGATATGAATATCTTTGTAAGGAAAGAGGGTATGTAGAAAGGGTGAGAGAGAAGAGACCGAGACGGGTCAGAAACCTCGCTACTCAGAAGAAGCGCTATAACGATAGATCCGCTGGATTGTATGCGCTCAGCTCTTTGCTTATCGATTCATTTCGATAGATAGCTGCTAATTCCACCAATTTAATTTTTCATTCGTTTCTGATCTCTCTTACCTTACCTTTCCAACAGCATATCAGTACCCTGAATAAACAACAGAAAGTAATGGACATGACGGAAATCGAATCCGTATCTCCAGGAAGGAACGGGCGTCAAACGCCGCCCGCGGTTGCCCTCGCCTAAACCGTTGAAGGTCAGGCTACCAGCTCTTGCTTGTTGCCACAAGGTAAGGCCCCAGTGTCGTGACCATTAGACCACATGCCCTTTAGGTACGTTCATAGCGATAAGAGCAAACTATGAGATTAATATAAACATCTACAAAGCAGAAGTATCAGCAAAAGAGAAGGTTTCATCCCAAGACCGGTTCAAAATTGCACTCCGATCCATGCTTTCTCTTACCCGCAGTCTTACCCGCCTCTTTACCCTGCTCTCCTCTTCCCTCAGGTAGCTTCAAAACCGCCAAAAAGATAGGCACAGCGAGACTCGAACTCACATCTCCCTATGTACAGATCAGGGCGGCGTTTTCAACTGTAGCTTTCTCCGCTAACTGCAGGACCAGCGGCAGAGCTACACACCTACCGCGGTTCTATTCCTAGGGCGTCTTAACCATTAGACTATATGCCTTGAACGTGTTCGATAGGCTGCTGGTGAGTAAGAGAAGATACATTAGATCGAGTTGCAGCGTGGTAAGAAAAGGAAGTGAGTTGTTTGAAGGCGTTTGTGCGGTCAAACATTGCGATGGCGAATCACACCGAAAAAGTAAGAGCACCCTTCGCAGCACCCTAATCCAAAATGGAACTATTGGGCCATCGCGAAGAGCAAAAACGATTGGACATGGCGAGACTCGAACCCGCATTTCTCTGCAATATCCAAAGGAAAACGATGGATACGCCCTAGTCGTCTAGGTGAGTATCTTACCATTAGACGACATGCCCTTGATAGTCGTTGGTGAGCGATTCAAGGATGGCTAAAGCTATAGCAACGGACATTGAGCGGAACAAAAAATCATGATGGACATGGCGAGAATCGAACCCGCATTTCTTGTAACCAAAGAAGTTAATCAGTGGTAAGCGGTGACGAATGGAATGAGCCAACAATTTGCATTGATGGAGAGAGCCAACGAGTTGAATCGCCAGTGGGGAGCCAACAATTTTCATTGATGGAGAGAAAAGGTGGTGTACTGTGCTCAAGCGTCCTACCATTAGACGACATGCCCGTGAGATGATGTTTGATGGGATGAAAGTAAAGGGGACGGGATATGTAGTCGCCAGGTGCCACGCAATATTGTGGGAAGTGTGTGCTGCGATGCGGGATCGTCATGGTCTGATGCGGAAGCTCCTACGCGTTATTTCGATCTGTTGTGGCAGTCGCTGATGATCGTGGCAGGCGTGGCCGGGAGGGGTGCGGTTGCTTTGGGAAGGCACGATGAGGCAGGAGCGCGGAAGCCGACCACTCCGAAGCCAACGATCTTCTAGCGACGGAGACACTATGCAGTCATGGATTCCTGTTCTATGTCGTAGGCCTACTCAATAAGGGTATATCGCATATAATCATCGACTCACTCAGTACCCTGCCAACAGCCGCCAGACCACTTCCATCTAACTCAACAACTCCTTAATATCCTCAATCCTCTGTACTCTCTTCTCCTCATCACTCATCATACCCAGCGAACTCGCACTGCAACACGTTAGCACCCAACCTTCACACTTAGCAACACGCGTTCCACTTACATAAACTTCTTCCTCTCCTGTATTCTAAGCATCTTCTCCTCAATGCTCCCCTCCACACAAAATCTTATAACCTTGACCTCCCTCTCCTGACCCATACGGTGCACACGATCGATAGCCTGGGCCTCGACGGCAAAACTCCACCACGGATCCATCATGAAGACTTTGTTTGCACACGTCAAGTTCAGGCCTACACCGCCTGCTCTCAGACTGAGGAGCAGGACGTATGGTTTCGGGGATGTGGTGAACTCGGTGAGGATCTGGGCGCGCACTTTCTGGCTTATGGAACCGTCGAAGCGGAGGAAGGGGATGTGGTCGCGGGTTAGAGCTGGTTCGATGAGGTCGAGGAAAGATGTGAATTGCGAGAAGACGACTGTTTTAGCGCCCTTCTCTTCTTTGCGGGTTTTCTTGAGATGGCCTAAGAGGGCTTGTGTCTTCGCGGAGCCGGTGACGCCGATGCGACGGAGGCTGATACGCGGTGTTTGTGTTGAAGTAGGCGGTGCGTCGGCGGCGCGAAAAGCATGGTCACCTTCGTCTTCGGGGGCGTGGTCATGCCTGATGACTTCGAAGACGTCGCGCGCGTTGATGGGTTCGCGGCAGTTCCAACAGCGTGGTATCTCGTTTTTGTCGCGCTGGTGGGCTATGTAACTTAGTAAGCACTCCTTGCAGGCTGAATGCCAACAGCCGGTGACTGCTTGCTCGATCATGGGTTCTTCGGAGCAGATTGGACATTCGGCCGCAGATTCGTCTTGAATTTGTTTCAAGACATGTGCGCCGAACCTGTTGACATCTTGGTCGCCCTCGGCAGTGAAACGTTCAATCAGAGAGGAGAGGTCCATATCATCCGCCAATCCGTTTGCGAGATCCGATGCTAAAGAGGCATCTTCTTCATCGGCGACAAGGTTGCGGTTGCGTGTCAGTACAGGATGGCAGCATGATTGCCGTAGTCGTAGAATTTGCGCGAAGATGGTTGTATACGACTTCATCAGTGTGCCGGCTTCTGCATTAGCATTGACCAGACTCTTCGCGCGCAGGAAGATGTGATCGTACACATCCCGCTCGTCTTGTGACAGCACAATCTTCTCAACTTCGATCGTCCGTGGGGGCAGTGGTACCAGAGCTTCACCGTCGGGTGTCTTCATGTCCTTCGTTCGACGAAGCACTAGTGGCTCTAGTACTGTCTGGACCACATTCAAGGCACGTACAAAGTCGCCTGATTCGAACGGTACGGTGATGAATGTCTTCCAGAAAGAGAAGTTCGCCCATGGCTCGACCTTGAGGAAACGAACCAGACTGAATAGATCTTCCAAGCGGTTCACTATGGGTGTTCCTGTAAGCGCCCATCGATGCTTTGCACTGAGCTCGTAGCATGCTTTCGCCGTTTTCGACTGCCGGTTTTTGATGTAATGCGCTTCATCAAGGATAATGCGGAAGTACTCCAGCGAGAAGATGCCACCATGCGAGCCACGGTTCCCTTCTTGATTAACCACCTGGTTGTACTCTGATAGAACTGTGCCGTAGCTCGTGATGATAACGTTGGGCGCATTAGCGCCGTTCGATGCACAACATAGCTTCTGGAGGTTCACAGCCTTCTCCGAGCCATAGTAGAGCATGGCCTTCAGTGTTCCTTCTTTGGACGCCTTTTCGGCTTCGCTGTGCCATTGTGCCAGCAATGACATGGGTGCTATGACGAGTGTGGTGTATGGCGCAGGCTCAACTTCGGCGCTGAGCTTTTGCAACCGGGGAAGAGCCTTCCGCGCCGCCAATGCATCCTCGTCAACTTCTGTCCTATTTGTATGGATCAAGCTGAGCATCTCGATAGTCTTACCCAGACCCATCTCATCAGCGAGTATACCGCCGAGGCAGTTCTGCTCTTGTTTCGGGAACTCAAGCGAGAGCTCGCCAGAGTAGGGATTGACGTAAAACATGGTCTGGTCTTCGATGGTCGGTATTGGCTGGTTGTCTGCATCGTGTGTTGGCCACTGGTATTCCTCCCACAAGGGATGCATCGAGGTCTCCTTGTCCTCTATCGACTCATTCCGTTCTTTGCTGACCATCCAAAAGAGCGCCTGCTTCTGATACTTGCGCAAGTCCATGCGAAAGGTGCTTGCTGGCTCCATGGTTGGGGTGTCGAAGTCAAAAGACTGCGCCTTCTTGTACAGTGAATCCAGTTGATCTTGTTCCAGCTCTTCTCCTTCTTCGGCTTCGTCGGGCGGCGGGGAGGATGTGGGGTTGGTAGATGTCGCAGGCGTGGAGGATGTTCCGTTCTTGGGCTTCGGTTTATCGCCTTTCTTCTCCTCGCTCTCTGCTGCCTGTAATAGACCTTGTCGCTTGTGCTTTGCCGTCTCTTCGTTTTCGCGGGTCGGTTGGAGGTTGATGTTATCGAACAGCTTCACAAGACCGACTTGCCGAAGCCGAAGGTCTCGCTCGTCAGACGATTCCTTCTCTTCGAACAAATTGATTTCTCGATTGTTGTCCGGTTTGGCAAATTTACGCGAATCAAATGCTGCGCGAACGAAAAAGGCTCGTAGCTGTAGGTATATAGTATCGCCTGTGCGTATTTTGTCGGGCGTGTAGACAACCGAGCCGTCGAAAGAGCACACTTTCTGATCGAGGAGCACGGATACCCATGCTGCTGAATCGTTGTCCAACCTGCCGACTTCAGCACCACGTTCATTCATGAACCTCACTACGATATCCGGTTTCGAGAGTTTGATGACCTTCTTTGCCTTGTTGAGTTTGGGTTGTGGCTTGGTGCGCTCGATCCGTATCTTTTCGTCGTGCTTCAGCTGAGATCCGCTCTTGGTAGCAAAGCCTACGACGCCAAACGAGCCAATGTAGCGCTTACTGGGCATCTCTCGCAGTATCGTGGGTGTGGAGGTGCCTGAGCCCGGAGTGGACGCATTCGATATTTCGGATTCGGTTCGATTGAGGGTTTTCGCTATCGTCATCTGGATGGGCTGCCGACCGGATTTCAAGACGGGTGCGGGGGACGGTGAGGGCATCTTGCTCCACGAGCCGTCCAAGTAGAGGTTGATTGCTACACCTTGTCAGCCATGCAACTACAACCTCACACTTACTGGCATACCTCGTTCCACATTGCTTCCACTGACGTCTTTCAGCTTCTGCAGTACCGTTTGAGAGAGTTCTCCAA